AAAACGCATTTTTCCACTCGAGTGCTTCTTATTTCCCTTAATATTTGAATTTATAGTGCAAATGCTTATGAGCATTACATTTTAACGAATTCATAAAAAATAAGCAATCAATTATATAAAATGAGTTTTGACCTTTATTAAATAACAATAGTGTGCCCATTTTCATAAAGGCAAATATTGAAAATATTGAAATATATTATTTACAATATTTATTTTTCAAGTGAAAAAAAAAAACTTTTTTATGGTGATTAATAAAAACACATTTTTCCTCTCGAGAACTTCTTACTTCCTTTAATATTCGAATTCATAGTAAAAATGCTTATAAGCATTATATTTTAAAGTATTCATAAAAATTAAGAAACTAAATGCATAAAATAAATTTTGACCTTTATTAAATAACAATAGTGTGCCCATTTTCATTAAGGCAAATATTGAAAATATTGAAATATATTATTTACAATATTTATTTTTCAAGTGAAAAAAAAACTATTTTATGGTGATAAATAAAAACACATTTTTGCCTTCGAGAACTTCTTACTTCCTTTAATATTCGAATTTATAGTGAAAATTTTGCCTCAAAAATTGATTGAGTAGTTTTGCGTGCGTAGTTGGAACTAACACCGCTGGAAGAAATGCCAATACTTGAAGTTAGGTAATCTTCGACGCACGTAAACTTTAAAAATTGCACTTTTTCTGCTTTTTTCGAAAACGGCAAAGATTTACTCTCTCGCTCTCTAGCTGTTCTTTTTATAACTTTCACAACAGCGTGAGTGATCATAGTTCTCGTAAGATAACACACATCAGAGATCGCGCTATTTTTAGATATAATAGGAGCACAAGCAAAAAGCTCTCTTTACCATCGCATCATCTGAGAGAGGAATTTCTTTCTTCCTTTCGAAAAAAAAGAAAGAAATTAGAGATAACAATTGTCACTTAATCAAGAAATACCTGATGAAACATTTTTACTGCTTTTAACACAATAAAAGCTATTAGATTACTGATGACATAGTAGAACCCTAAATGTTTCATTTGCTAAGGGATCACAGACAGACACAGAGAGTATTTAATCAAAGCCAAACTGGCATAACTTACCTCATAAAACGCTTAAAGAAAATAAATTAAATTTTTACCAATCTATGTTGTTGTATAAATATATAACATTAAATTATAATTGCATAATCTATAAAATGTTTTTATATATAAATGTTAATATATAAGTGTTGTTAAATATATAAAATGTTTCATTTACTGAGGGATCTCAGACAAACACAGAGAGTATTTAATCAAAGCCAAACTGGCATAACTTACCTCATAAAACGCTTAAAGAAATTAAATCAAATTTTTACCAATCTATGCTGTTGTATAAATATATAACATTAAATTATAATTGCATAATCTATAAAATGTTTTCATATATAAATGTTAATATATAAATGTTGTTAAATATATAAAATGTTTCATTTGCTAAGGGATCACAGACAGACACACAGTATGTAGCCAAAGCCAAACTGGCATAACTTACCTCATAAAACGCTTAAAGAAAATAAATTAAATTTTTACCAATCTATGTTAGTGTTTAAATATATAACATTAAACTATAATTGGTTAATGATATATATAAATTTATATCATTAACCTTTTGACGCTGATGTGTAAATTTTATATATTTTTTTGACGATCGAATTACAATTAAAAATATAATTTGGTACTTTTCAACTATAAAAAACAGTCTAATAGTTTCCTTAAAAAATGTCTTAGATTATCGGGATTAAATTTGTATACAAACATAAAATCGAAAAAAATAGTTTCAATTTTTTTTTCTATTTATATTCAAAAACTTATCAATAATTTATTTTGTAAATTAAAGAAATTTTAATGATGGATAACTGTTGCTATTAGATCTAAATAACGGCAAATAAGTGCTAATATGAAAAATCATTGACTGGAAGAGAGCCGCATTTGGAAGATTTTACCTTTGACACATAGAAAGACAACGGTGCTCGAGCATGTTCTATATTTCATAACCATGAATCATTAAGTATATTAAATATAATATTTCACTTACTTTAAATAAAAATTAATTCAAAATAATAAAAAAAGTATGAAAATATGTTTAATAGAAATTTTACGTCAAAAGTTCAAATTATGATTATATGTGTTATTTTATAAAATTATAATATTAAATTATAGTTTCACGTATTAATATATAAATTTAAAATTAATTTTAAAAAACTTTCAAGTTATTTTCTACACTAGTGTATAAATTTATAGCATTAAACTATATTTGTATGCGTTAATATATGAATTTAAAATTTGTTTAAATAACGTACAAAATATCGCTAATGTATTTCTGATGTATAACATAATAGATTTTACAATTCTGTATTTTATTTTCAAAAATATTTACTCAATTTTGTTTAAATTTATAATATAATAAAAATCAAATCAAATGCTTCAAAAATATGATAAACTTCTTTAAGTTCCTCACATTATGGCTAAAAAGCTCAAGGGAGTTCGCTATATATAATCCTTGTATCTAATATTCCTAACAGTACGTGATAATTACAAATTAACACATTTCGTTCATGATGAAAATATAATTAGATAAACAACTGTTCAATGATTTTTTTTTCATTTAATATAACTTCTTAGCAAGGCAACTGAGATAAATTTCTTGAAATTCTTTAAAAATTTATTGCTTTTAGTTTTTGATTTAACTGAAACTTTGATCTATAATAATATCAAACTAGGAGTTATATTGAATTAAATATCCATGCATAAATAAGTGTTCTACATATTTTGCATTTAGAATTTAAAAAATGTCTAGACTTAAAATTACGTACTTTATTATATGCATGGAATTAGTTATATGCATGGAAAGCTAAAGCAATTTCTTTTTTCAATTTTTGAAAATTAATGAAAGTTACTTATTTAAAATACAAATACTCTAAAATTCTTGAGTAATTGTTTTTAGTTGAGATATATCCTTTTAATCTTAAAAATACATTAAAAATAATTAATGAGAAATAAATATTCAAAATTTTGGATATTACGTTTAAAGCATTTTTTTTTTTGTTTTTTGAAAAAATAATTAAGAGCATTATTTCTCAAAACAACATAATAATTTTGGGAACATTTTAAAAATTTTTCGTGTTTCACGCTCCTTAAAATGCGGCTATCTAGAACTGATTTTAGAAAGATTTAATATACAAGGAAAATAAGGAAGATTAAAATTCTATCAAAAAAACAGAGATCGCAAATGAAGACTTTTTTTTAAAAAAATATTAGTTCGACACGGGAATGTGAAAACTTTCCGTCTTTGATTCGACGTCTTCAAATATTGATAATTGAAAATTAAAACTTTGTTTGATGTACCTCAGAATCTTATTATTTTGTTTAATTTTATAACTTTTGAGAGTTAATTACCAAGTTCCAAATCGATTTATGTATTTTTGTATTAATTCATATTAAATATATAAGTAAGAAGCTGAAAAAAAAAATTTTTTTCTTTAAATTTTCAATAAAGTGACAAATAAAATAACTCATTAATTTTTTTAAAAAAATGCATTTTAATATATTATTTCGTATGCTGATTATTTCGTATGCTGATATTAAATGTTATAAAATGGAATAAAAAATTTAAAATTAAAAAAAAAAATTTTTAGAATTTTTCTAGATTTATTTAAAAGAAAAAGTAGAAGCATGTTTAAAAATTTAGAGACGCAACACGAATGTAAAATAATAATAATTATAAAACCTAATCATGTATGGAATTTCTAGTGTGAAAATATTCTTAGAACTGCATTATTAAATTATGGGAATATTTCAATTTAATTAATTAATAAATAATTAAATTAACCCTTTTTTGTCGTTGTTAAACTTTTCTTGGATTTGAAATAGTCTTTGATATCTATCAAAAAATGATAAATTTTAAAAGAAATTAAAATTATTGAAAAAATTAATAATTTGCGTAAAATAGTTTCAGTTGCAAACGCTCATTACCCAGTTTTTCGAGTCATTTTTTTAAAAACGAGTGTTAATAGATTACTAAGAAATTACAAAATTAAATGTTCTTTATTTTAGCTTGCAAAGAAATTTTTTTTTTCTACATCAAAATCTGCTAAAAACCTTTTTATTCTTACTGTTATATTGAAAATATCCCTCCTGTAAGCATTATTGTGAAATAAAGCGATAACATTTAAGATATTCCTAAATAACTCAAGGCTCTAAAAGTAGAAAACAATTGTTCAAAAAGAAAACCTTAATACATTTTAATAAAAACCGTTTTTGGTTAAGGACTACTCTCCCCCATTCACCAAAAAAAGATTATAGAAGCATTAACAGATCAAAAAGAATTAAGTAACATTGACACATACACAATTACTGGACTAAAAATATGAAGAGCACATATTAGGCGAAATATATATATATATATATATATTTTCAGAACATTTTAATAAAAATAAGATTTTTATGTCGTTTTTTCAAAAACATTATTTTAATTTCTTTTTAATAAGCTAACTTTTTTCTAAATACAGAAAAACTTGTTTGTCCTGTTATGTTCATTATGTAAATGAAATCGCTATTGGAAATCATTGAAAAAAAATATTCAAAAAAAATTTTGGAAAAAATTAGTAATCTTTCATCAAAATTCTAGATCAATTTTACTTTTATTTAAATTTTCTATTAATCTAGCATTGATGTTTGCATTTATTTCGAACATTTGTTTACTTTTTTAATGGAAACAATTAAATCTATTTTTTAGTGGAATCTAACATGGAAACAAAAAATACATTTTGAAAATTTTAATTTTTATGCTTGACAAATATGGTCACGTTTTGCATAAGCGCTGTAAATTTATCCGTTTCACCAATCCTTCAAACATCGCGGTATGCCAGGAAAGTTATTTTCAAACGAAATGTTAGAAAGCGTAACTATTTTCGAACCCTATTCTAATTAAAGACATGCTTAGAGCAATGAATTCTTAATTTTCTACTTACAGAAAAATACGGCTAGGAACTGTTCTTCTTTAATGAGTTTTTCTAGTTTTTTTCGATCCACTTCTTCAATAACGTCCGATGCTAAAGATGAAGATTTCTTTTTGCATGAAATGAGTGGTAAAAAGAGTAATAACACCAGAAAAAGCCGACACAGAGCCATTTCTACCCGAAAAAACTCACATGCACAAAAATTTTTAGATGAATGTTCTTAAATCCCAGGATGCTTTGCGCTAGCTACCTGATACAGGAGCTGCGAAGTTTTTCCTGGCGTTATTCTTCTTCAGTTGAACTGTCGGAGGCGTTCGAGAGTTTTAAGACAGCCAACTTGGATGCATTCTGAACGAGACCAAAATGACGTCAGTTTTCTTTTTTCTTTGTTTTGGTTTCTATTTTTTTCTTTTTTTTTCTTTAGAACGCGTCAGTCGGAGGAGTACAAACTCAAGTAATTCAGTAAAGAAATTTGAAAGACAACCACCTGACATTCAATTAAAAATTAGCTACTTTTGAGCGAAAATAAATTTAAGTCGACGAATAAAATTCTTTTACCCTTTTTATGCTTTTTTATGAGTTATTAAGTTAAGTTTAGAAACGCCGTATATTTCGTTAAAAAAAAAAAATTCCTTCGAATAAGTAGAATTTTTAGCTGAAGAATAAAATTGTTTTATTATTTCTTATACTTGTTTTAGAGATAGTAAGTTTTAGATTTAACAATAATTGGTTTTGTGAATTAAAAAAATTTCAAAGATGAATAACTGTTTTTCTTAGACCTAAATAACTGCAAATAAGTTAAACTTTTCTCTAGTATGTATACTTTGGGAGTACGTGGGCGGTTCTTTCTCATTCTGTCGGTCCTAAAGGTGTAAAAAAATTTGCATTTAAGAAAAGAGGAAAATTATTATATTTGAAAAAAAAAAAAAAACTGCTGAGCTATAAATGCGTAGCATAATATTTAAATGATTTATTGTTCAAACTTATTTCTTTAAAAAAATGATGTTTTGTTGTGACTTTCCTCCATTATTCGGAAAGAAAATTCGTTCATTTTATTTATTTATGAAAATTAAATACCATTTTCACTAGTATGTATACTTTAGGAGTATGTGGGTGCTTCTTTCTCATTCTGTCCGACCAAGAGATGTAAAAAAAGTGCATATAAAAAAGAAGAAAAATTATCCTATTGAAAAAATAATTAAAAAAAAGAAAAAAACTGCTGTCCTATAATGTGTAACATAGTATTTAAATGAGATGATTTAGTTTTTTTTTTTCAAACTTATTTATTAAAAACAAATGGACATTTTGTAGTGAACGCCCTCAACATATTAGGTTGTACGGAAAGTAAATTCGTTCATTTTATTTAACTATTTTATAAAAATTAAAGACCATTTTCTTATAGTAAATAAATATTTTATTGAACTATATTTTGTCTATGCTGGCTTAATGCCCTATTTCATTTTTCTGCTTACATCATAACTCCGCGCTAATAAAATTTTTTTCTTTACTGTTTGCTGATAAAAAATAAATAAATGAAAAATAAAAAATAAATAAATAAAAAACAAAAAACTGATCCATGTGATTTTTGACCCCTTTTGTTTTGAGCCAGTTCACTCTATGATCTCTTGCGTTTAACATTGTCTTAGGCAACCAATTTCGTGCCCCCAGTGATGATGCGCGCTTGTATATACAGTATATTGTCTATATATCGAACATCGACATCTCGAAAACCTTGTTATGTCAACAAAAAAAAATTTCCCTGGGAATTATACACTATCTGGCCATTAATGACCGGACACCTCTCATTTCGGGTACATGAGGTGCTAGTATCAAGTCAGTAGGGCGTAGGGCCGCTACGCGCCCGAATCACAGCTTTAACCCTTCTAGGAAGGCTATCCACTAGGTGTTGGTACACGGCGGCAGGTATTGCCCGTCATTCCTCCTGTAACATGGCGAAGAGTTGAGTGGTGGTTTTGGGGCGTTGTAGTCTGGCCCTCAACCGCCGCTCCAACTCATCCAAGAGATGCTCAATTGGATTGATGTTGGGACTTTGGGATGGCCAGTCAAGTTCTTGCACCCCCATTTCATCAAAGCAGTCCGTGATGGCATGTGCTTTATGAATGGCAGCGTTATTGTGTTGAAACACAAACGGGCCATTACCGAACTGTTGCCACAGTGTGGGAAGAATGTCTGGAAAGAATGTCTCTATACCCTTCTGCGTTCTGGGTTCCACGCACTAACACAAAGGGTTCAAGGCCAAACCATGAGAAACAGGACCACACCATAATTCCTCCACCGCTGAACTTCACAGTGGTGACAATGCACTCCTGTAGGTACCGTTCTCCGAGCATTCGCCAGCTCCACACCTGTCCATCAGAGTGCCACAACATGTAGCGTGACTCATCACTCCACATAACGCAGATTTAATTAAC